TTGCTGGTTCCACTGTAGAAGTCATCGTGCGGCGGTCTGGGATTTACCCGCCGGCGATGCCACGGGCAGCAGTCCAGGGCTCTCGCACTGCGACGCCCAGGCCTGATCTGGCGGCGCACCCCGCTTACCATTCCCAGCCAGTCCCGCTGCGAACGTGCTGTCTCAAACGCCTGCAGAGCTCTGCTGGCAGCACGCTCGTCATCGAATAACAAAGAACAGCCTTGACGTACACTTTCGGAGTTTCGAGCGGATTTCTTGGACCGGCGCTGGGCCCCCCTGGCAGGGCCTTTGGCGCCGCATGTTCCTTCACGACCGTGTCTTCTGCGACTGGATCTCATGCAATTGGTACTACTAGTGGGAACCTGCATACGCTGCCTGTACCGAGTAGCTTTAAGCCGGGCCTGTCCCCCTACAGGGGGATTTTCGTCGAAAAATGAAAAATACCCCCAAATAGTCCAAACATAGTAAAAAACATTTCTGGGGACTATTTCTTTTTTTTGTGCCATTTTGAAGCATTTTTTTTTATTTTTTTATTTTTATGTTAAAAAAGGAAACAAATAATCGTCGAAAATTCCCCTGTAGGGGGACAGGCCCGACCTAAGAGTAGCTTTGAAATGTCTGACTCGGGCGGCCCCCGAGAGGCCAGCTCCGCCAGTGAGGTCGAGCCCCCCATCTGGATGAGGCTCGTCAGCATAGCCTTACGTCGGGCCTGTCCCTCTACAGGGGGAATCTTCAAAACTAGTCAAAAAATAGTCAGTGGACGATGTTTTGACTATTTTTGCCCATTCGGGGGGCATTGTTTGAGAATTTTTTTATTTTTCGCCCAAGATCCCGCTGTAGGGGGACACGCCCGACTTAAGCATAACCTGATTCCGCCCCCACCGACACACGCACGAACATTGCCGACCTGCTTCGGTTTCCTTTCGGTCCTGGCGTTGGGCCCGATCGGACATCCCTTGCCCGCTCATCGAGATGCCCATTCGTTCTCAAGTGCTCGCATTCCGCATCCCGCATGCTTTCTTCTTGGTAGCTCCAAAGTCCGAAAATATCGTACGGATGAATTCGCCGCACTGGTGGCAATACGGGCATCCCGCCTGCGCGGCCCAACGCGTCGACCTCTGATCAGCGACGCCTCGACCACGGTTCGACAGTTTCAGTCAAGAGATGGTCGCGGAATTGACGAGCTTGGCGGCGTTGGTTCACCCACAGTGTGTATGGCGGAGTCTTCATCTCAACTTAGAGGGCTTTGGGTTCTTGTTGTATGGCTGGTAGACGTAGAGCATCCCTGCGGCGGATGGACGTCGTCCTCGTTGCGACTTCCACGATGGCCTGTTGCCCGAAGAAGGTGGTGTCAGTCGTGACCAAGGTCCGCTCAAATTTCCCAATGTTTGTATGGTTGTTCCAGACGAGTTAGCATCCCGAGCTTTCCGCCTCTAGGAACCGCCTCCTCGAAGCGCCCGGGGAAGGGGCTCCGTCGTCGTACCCGTGTTCCAGCGTGCCCCGGGCGCAGGTGGTGGTAGCCTTGCGCCTTTCTCGTATCCGACCAGGTGAACGCGGACGGTGATCTCGTGGCGCTTGTCCCAAGGTAGATTGTTTCTATGCCCCCAATCCACGACGCTTGTGACACTTTCCACCCTCACACGTGAGAGTACTTGCCAGATTTCAAAGACAATCGGCCTTGCTCGAACAGCTGTCTTCCAAGTAATTAGGGGTTTCCGATGTGCCAGGACTGTTCCCTGTCTGCTACCTTAGCGTGGCGCCTCATGACTTCTCGAAGTCTAGTGCCCGATCCGCCACAGCGCCATTCACATGTAGGAGGCGAGGCGATGCTTGTCTCGGTGGCCTCCCGCTTACCCCGAGGGCAACGTGAAGGGGGGGATGATTCAGGGGGAGTGCATCGACCCCATCGCCGATAAGGGCTCGATAGCCCAGACTCGCCAAGGGTCGTGCGGCTTGGCTGTCGGGGGCCCGTCGCCCATGTATCGGCGATGCACCGCCGATTCCAGGTCGAAGTTCCCCCCCTCTTGAGCTGGGACCCCCCTCACGTTGTCCCTCATTCCCTTGTGTCTGGTAGGCACCGTCACAGTCCTTGATGCCTCCGTGGCCAACCGGGGCACATCGTTTTGGGAACGATGAGAGAAGATCATCGACGGACGTGCCGCCGCAGGCACGCTGCCTGCCTGTCTCGGCCTGCCACCTGGCGCGGGCGGACAGTCCACCGTGACCAGACGGGTGTCCGTTTGCTTGCCGCGCTTCATCGAACTACCAACCCATGGTCGGAGGCCCGTGCTGGGGCTTGGTCGCCTCTGAGGAGCGTCCGCCGCGCGACGCCGGGCTCCGGGTGTCGTGCTGCGGTTGCAGGCGCTGCGCGGCAGCGGTTCCTTCTGGTGCGGCGCCGCAAGTACAGGGATGAGGAGGACTAGGAGTGTTTAGGAGGAGGGAGGATGAGGAGGAAGGAGGATGAGGATGGGGGAGGATGAGGAGGAGGAGGAGGATGAGGATGAGGATGGAGGACCAGAATAAGCCCGAGGTGCATCGGCGATGCTGCAATGCACCCTTCCGTCCCAAGCCCTCTCTTCATAAGTCCCCAGACGCCCGTCTTTTTTCACTCCAGAAGCGCTCCCTTGCAAGACCAGCACCTTATGAGCCTGCCATTCAGGCGAAAACCCCGTCTTGAAAAGGAACTACCTTGTATCTTTCTAGACCAGAAGCAGGCCTGCGAAAACGTATGATCATACAGTTCAGCCAGGTGTCCAGCGGGATCGCCATTTTGAAAAAGGACCGCTCCCCGTCGGTGTAACTGTTGCACTAGTTTTCACTTCTGGCCATGATCTTCGAGGAAGTTTCAAGCGACAGCCCAATTTTGAAAAGGAAATGCCCTCCATCTCTGCAGCTGCTACATCAGTTGAGTGCTATGGCCGCTGGATTCTAGAGTGTCTCAAGCGACATCCTCCATTTTGAAATGGAGCCGCACCACATCCTTACAACTGTCGCAAGTTTTTAAGACTAACGTGCATGGCGCTGAGGCGAGAGCACCAGTTTGTTGAACGTGACTCGCCCTCAGTCCGAGTAATTGTTGCAAGCTTTCATTACGAATGTGCGTGACGCTAGGGCGACTGCCTTAGTTTGAACACAACCAGTGCTCTATCTTTGAAAAGCGCTTTCTGACGCTGCTGGCATTTGAGGAGTTGCCCCCTCTCCAGCGGGGGGAGCGGGGTTTCCGGACCACCCCCTTGGGACAAGTATTCGGGGGGGAGAATCCCCCACCTCTGTCAACTTCTTGGCGGGGTCCAGAACCCCCCACCCCGGAAAGACATTGGGGAGGTGCAGACCCGCCGTTCCCCCCTCTCACCGCAAGGGAGGGCGAGCCAGGGTAACGAAACTCTCTCCCCCCGAGCAAGGCGGCAAAACGACGACGACGATGACGACGACCCATGATGATGGACGACGACGACGGGCGACATGACCGACGACGACGATCACGACGACCATGACGACCACGACGGACGGACGACTGACGACGGCCGACGGACGACGGACGACGGACGACAGACGACGGACGACGGTCGACGGACGGCGGACGGCGGACGGCGGATGACGGACGGCGGACGGCGGACGGCGGACGGCGGACGGCGAACGGCGTACGATTGACGGCGGACGGCGACGGCGATGGCGACGGCGGCGGCGTCGACGACGGGGGGGGTGTTTGTCTCCCCCCTTTACCCTACTTGCGCAGAAGGGGGTGGTCGTCACTCACCCCCTTACCCCCTTGTGCAGGGGGGGAGGGGTTCTGGACCCCCCAGCCCTTGGGAGGGGAGATTCCAGACCTCTTCGTTTCGGGGGGTGGGCCCACACCTGGTTCTGGGAGCGGGGGGGGTACAGGGAGGGGAGGTTCGACGGGGGGGGGCACCACGGTTTCTGAGACCCCTCCTCGGGATTTTCCAGGGGGCAGAGCCCCCTGGTTTCTGAGCCACCCTTAAATCTGTTTCAGGCCGGCGATGGTGGATCGCGTTCCTTCCCGTCTTTCTGTCCTTTCGAACTCCAAGCTTCAGCATCAGAAAGAGTGAGGACGTCGCAGGCGAAACGCCTGGCACGCTCTGCCAATACGTCTGTGGGTGCGACGGGGATGAGTTCTCTATAGGGAAGGCGTGGGGGAGGGAGCATTGGAGGACGGAGGAGGAGGAGGAGGAGGAAGAGGAGGAGGATGATGATGATGATGAGGAGGAGGGGGAGAAGGAGGAGCAGGAGGAGGAGAAGGAGGAGCAACAGCAGGAGAACGGAAAGATGGATGGATGGGGGGAGGGAGGGTAGAGTAGGAGTAAGGGGATTGGCGATGGAGGAAGTGGAGGGAGGGAAGGAGGGAGGGAGGGAGCGGAGAGGGCGGAGGAAGGAGACCAGAGGAGGGAACTGGAGAAGGGAACACGGAGGACGGAGGGGGGGGGGGGGGGAAGGATTGAGGGAGGGAGGGGAGGAGGAAGTGAGGAGGAGGAGGAGGAAGAAGAAGAAGAGGAGGAAGAGGAGGGTGCGCTGGAGCTGGAGGGGGGAGGATATCAGTGAGGTGAACTGGATTCCACCTCTGCTGGCAGCCCTCACTTATCCCCAGGGCTGTGCCGCTCCGCCGGCCCTCACGGCCTTCTCCCTCCTCCCCCCCTTCCTCGCTCCCCCCCTCTCTCTCCGCGCTCCCTCCTCACTCCTGCTCTGGCTTCTGCCCATCTGCCCATCTCTTCTGCCCTCCTCCCCCCTTCCTTGCCCACCCCCTCTCTCCTCCCCGTTCCCTCCTCACTCCTGCTCTGGCTTCTGACCATCTGTCCATCTATTCTGCCCTCCTCCCCCTCCTTGCCCGCCCTCCTTGCCCTCCGCTTCTCTTTCCGCTCCTCCTCCGTGCCTTCGCTTCCCTTCTCCCGCGCTGCTTCCTCCTTTTGTTTGATTCTTCTTTGGTGGTCCGATTGATGCTCTTTTGGCCCCCGCATGCTTCGTATTGAATGAACACCTGCTCATCGCACCTTCTCTGGGCTCGGCTGGCAGTGCAGCTGTGTTTGGCCAGCGCTTATTGTCCGCATCTCAATGCTAATGCACATGCGCAAGTTTTTTTTTTGCGATATACCATTGTGTGTTGTTGCTGCTGTTGCTGTTGCTGTTGCTGCTGCTGTTGTTGTTATTGTTGTTTTTGCTGCTGCTACTGGTGTTGTTGGTGTCGTCGTTGTTGCTGCTGTTGCTGCTGCTGCTGCTGTTGTGTTTGTTGTTGTTGTTGTTGTTGTTGTTGTTGTTGTTGTTGTTGTTGTTGTTGTTGTTGTTGTTGTTGTTGTTGTTGTAATTGTTATGGTTGTTGCTGTTGTTGCTGTTGTTGATGTTGCTGTATATGTTGTTGTTGATATTGTTGTTGTTGTTGTTGTTGCTGCTGTTGTTTCTTTGTTATGGTGGCGATGTGTGAGCGTGAGTCAGGCGGACGAGGCTGCATGCAGTGCCAACGGGTCTCTGCTGGAGCATATTTCTTCGATCCGTGAAACGGTGCTGGTTGCCGCAGGCGGAGGATTAGGATAAGGGTCCTCCCCGCTCCCTCCCTCCCTCCCTATCGCTTCCTCTCGCTTCCTCTCCCTTCCTCTCCCTTCCCCTCCCCTCATCCTCTCCTCCCCTCACTTCCCGCCCGCGCTCCCTCCCCGCTCCCTCACTCGCTCCCCCCCGCCCTCCTCCCTCCGCATTGTCCCACTCTCCGCTCTCCCCTTCTCTTCCTTCTTCCAGTCAACCCTCATAGTAAGGATGGGCAACCTTCCCAAGGGTACCCTTGCATCATTGCCTCCTTGGTCTATCCTTGGCCGCTTTGGCTGGCCAACCTCCTTCGAAAAACGTTCACGTGGCACTCCATGGCCCTTGCATCCTTACCGCGCATCCTTATTATACGGGTTGACTGTACTCGAGCCCAGGGCGAGAACCACCGAGCCGAACCGCGAAGGGCGGTGGGCGGATTGCTTTACAGGCGCCAAGGTCTTCAACCGGGTCGTCGCGCCGATGGTGGTGCACTACCTGGAAACGGCAACCCTTTTGGGGAACGGGCGGGGGGGAGGGGCGTATGTCTCGGGAGCGAGCGAAAAGACGTGCGTGCACATTGATTTTGGTTGGTCTCGACAGTGCGCGTTGCGCGGACGTTCGTGCCACGAGGCTGGCTTCGCGGACTGGGGGAGTGCATTCATGTACGTGGCCAGGTCCCGGCATTCGCCGCCGCAGCGCGCGCCCACGCGCTGGCGGTTTGATTCGGGCCGGGCCTGGGGCGTTGCAGCCCCCGCCCGAGGATCGCGCGCCCCCTCTCTTCGCCGGGCCGGGCTAGGGCGAGGGTACATCCGTTCCAGACCGCCCCAGAATGCTCTCGGAGCGTTCTGGAACGCTCTGAGAAGGCCGCGACGCCCGACGCATCCTCCGGAGCCGTTGGACTCAGAGATTCTCGATTTATCCTCGCCCGATGTTATCCCCGTCCTGGCTTCGTCCCACTTCGCGCGCGCGTTTCCCCTCCGCCCTCGCCCTCCTCGCGCGTCGGCCCCGTTCCTTCGTTGCTTCGCGCGCGCGGTCGTAAAGCATTCGAGCTCCGGCGCTCGGTGCCCTGCAGCGCAGTGGCTCCCGCTCGCACGGGCTCTCGCCACCGCTCGGCGCGCGGCCGCGCGCTGCTGTGCCCCCGTTTTTCGGAGGTTGATAGACCTCCTACCCTGACACGTCGATTAAGGAATTGGTCGTTTTCGGTTCGCGAGAGGGCGTCGCGGCCGTCATTTTTGCGGGTCCAGGTCCGTCGATTTCGGCCCCAGGTCGTTTTCACTAAGGGGAGGTTTACTAAAGGGAGGTTTGTCCACCGCCGAGTTTTGCCTCCTGGCTCAATGCGAAGGAGCTTCCGTTTCGCCTCCTGGCTCAATATCGGCGCCACCCCAACATTCTGATACTACATGCGCGTCGCCCCTCCAGGGGCGACGCGCGCACCGAGGAATCTTACAATATGTGCGTCTTGGCGGGCGCTTTCTGGCCACACCGCTCGGGAAACGGTATACTACAAGATGGGTATACTATATGTTCGGGTCGGACGCGCGCCTCCAAGGAGAACATACAGTACTAGTATTGTAGTGGCCTCCGGCCAGTGCCGCCGATCCGGGTCGCTCCGGGTGCCTGTGGAAATGAACGACGACGAGGAAGACGAAAACGACGACGAAAACGAATACGTCGACGACGACGACGACGACCACGACGACGACGACGACGGCGATGACGACGACGACGGCGATGACGACGACGACGCGAGCGACGACGACGACGACGACGATGACGCGAGCGGACGCGGGCCTCCAAGGAGAACATACAGTACTAGTTTTCAGTCGGGCCTGTCCCTCTACAGGGGGAAGAACCAAAAATAGTCAAAACATAGTCTGGAGACTTTTTTTTGAATATGTTCGGGTATGTTTCGAGTTTTTTTTATTTCAATTTTTCGTCGAAAATCTCCCTGAAGGGGGAAACGCCAATACGTTTCTGCGCGCCCCACAATACAAAGGAGGCGTCGCCGCCCTCTCCAGTCCAGCGCCAGAGACCCGCTGGTTTCACCGACCCAGCGCGCTCGCTGCTCGGACAGATCTACGGCTGGGCTCCTGGAGCAGGTGGTGCTCCAGCATTTGCGCCGCGCCGATCCGCGCGCACCTTTCAGGCGTGCGGCTTCCGTGCTCGGTGGTGTTTCTGCTCTAGGCGCCAGGCTTTCCGCTCGTCCTGGATGCCTTTCTCGCTGCCTCGCGGGTGCTGACCCAGCTGCGTGGTTCACCCGGCTGGCGGCCGCCTGCCGAAGCCTTGTCCCTGCGCAGTGGCGTTGAGCCTGGGCATGGCTGCCGCGGCCACCCGGCCGTCCAGATGGCCTCGTCGTTGGACGAGGTCGCCCCGAGGGCGCCACGCGGCCTAGGCGCGGCGCCCCGCCATCTTCCACGGGGCGCCGCGCAGCGGCGCCGCGTGCCCGCCTCCAGGGCCTGATCGCTTGCGCCGCGTGCGGGGGAGTGCGCTTGTTTATCCTCCCTGCAGCTCAGGCCGTTTCGGGCCTTGTCGTCTGAGGGCGCCGCGCGTGGGCCTCCGGGACCTGATCGATTGCGCAGCGCGCGGGGGACCCAGGAGTGCAACGAGGTGTAATGTTGCAGTTCGGCGCGGCGTCCAGCTCCTTCTCAGTGGAGCCGTCGCACGTTTTGGCGCTTTTGGCCATGGACCTTGAAGAAGTCTCAAGCGACAGCTCAATTTTGAAAGGGAACGTCCCTCTATCCGTGCAGCGGTTGCGTTGAAGCTTCTGATGCTACTAGCCTGTCGGCCATCCCGCCACCGTGCCTGGGTTGTGGTCAGAGTCCTCAGGGATGCTTTTCGGGGTCGCTTCGGAGCGCTTTCGGGGGCCTCTTCGGGGCAGTTGTGGAGCCTCTTGGGGCCCCTGGAGGGCCTCTCTGGGGGCCTCTTGGGGGGCTTCTTGGGGTTGTTTGAAGGCCTCTTGGGGTCCTATTTGCGGTTTCGTGGGGCCTTTGGGGGGCCTTTTTGGGGGCCTCTTGGGAGCCTCTTGGGGCCTCTCGGGGCCTCTTGGGGTTTCGAAGTGTCCGTGCGGGTCACCCTCTTGGAGCCGTCTTGGGGGCCTTTTGGACCGTCTCGGGGGCCTTTTGGGCCGTCATGGTGGTCTCTTTGGCCGTTTGGGGGCCCTCTTGGAGGCCTCGGATGTCTTTGTGCGATACTGGAGGCCTTTGGGATCGTCTTGGAGTGTTGTATGCATTTTTGGGCCCTTTTGGGAGTGTTCTTGGAGATTTCCTGGGGCGTCTTCGACGCATTCTGGGCCGTCTGGAAGCCATTTTGGGCGTCGTGGAGCGATGCTTCGGCGATTTTATGCCCTCCTGGACCGTTTCGGTGGCCTCTCGGGGTTTTTGTTGGCTCGTTTCGGGCCCCCCCTGAGCGGGGGACCATCCCAGAGGCCCACGCGACACACCCCAAAAGCGCCCGGGGCCGCCCCGGAAACTGGGGGTTTGGGTCCTTTTCAGAGCCCTACAATCCTGCATTTTCAGGGTTGCATGAGCCTTGGGGCGCTCCTGTTCGTGCCAGTGGCGCGGTGACGGATTTTAAATTCAAGGAAATGTCCAGCGACAGGTCCATGTTGGAAAAAAACCGTCCTGCATCCTTGTAACTGCTGCAAGTGTTTAAGACAAATCTGCGCGGCGCTGTTTTTGTAATTTCTGCAAGCGTTGAAACATAATTTGCGCGTCGTGAAAGCGGGAACCACATTTTGAAATGGACCCGCACTCCATCTTTGTAGTTGCTGTAAACCTTCAAAACACGTGTGCTCGGCGCGAACGGGGAAATCCCAATTTAAGGTCACGCCCTCCATAGCTATGACAGTTGCAAGCTTTGATGGCGACCGAACGCGGCGGTAGCGCGAAATCCTTAGTTTTTTTGCCCTGCTTCCATATCGGTAGCCTGTGTAGGTTTCTACGACGATGGCGCGCGCCAGTCAGGCCATATTCCCAACTTGAAATCGATATGAGTGCCCTCCCTGTAGCTGTTGCAAATGTACAGGGCCACACATGGTGAAGAGGTCTCAGGCGAAACGGCCGGCCCGCCCTGCCGACCCTTCTCAGGGTGCGACAGGGAGGGGTTGTTTATACGGATTACGGAAGAGGTATGGGCCCCCCTTTCTATTTCACAAGGGGCTCCTTTCGAAGCAGGCGGGGGATTGAAGGAAGGCGGGCCCAGAGGAGGAGGAGGAGGAGGAGGAGGAGGAGGAGGAGGAGGAGGAGGAGGAGGGGGAGGAGGAGCACGTGGCGTCTGTTAGGAGCTATTACATCTCCCGTGTCCAGCGGATTTGCCGAAACATCGAAATCCGCCCCATCGCGTCCACCACAAGACCCGGGGGGGTCGGGCGGCCCGCCCCCAGTCTGTCGCGCAGTTCAGGGAGGAGCAGAGGGTCGAGAAGGCCGTGTGGGACTGCATAGAGCAGACCGGCGTCAAGAAGTCGTACACGCAGAAGGCCGGACCCGCGTGGCTCGCGCTCCGAGGCCGCGGCGATCGATCGAAGGAGGCGAGGGAGGGCCAGGAGGGAAAGAGAGAAGGGATGAGGCGGAAGAGGAGGAGGAGAATGGGGAGCAGGGGAGGAGGAGAAAGGGGAGGGGAAACGGGAGAGCAGGAGGAGGCAGAGGAGCAGGAGAAGGAGGAGGAGGAGGAAAAGGTGGAGGAAGAGGATTATGTTGGATTTTGCTGGCCTGACCGCTGATGCGGCGAAACACACCGACCGGCGGCGACGAAAGCTTTTCCTACCTGAGGCCGTCCCTGGGCGACAAGCTTCGTCTTTGCTCAAAATCTGTAGCTGATGACGTCCGTAGCCATTTTGGTTCAAGGCTCAAACCTGGTCCCTGGGGTTTGAACCTTGCTGCTGCCGACGGGGAGGCTCGAGGGCCCCTCCTGGAGCGGGAGCTTCACGTCTTTCACTGCATTTTTCCCCGTCTCTCACCTTTCTTCACTGCAGCCCGATGCTTTCGCGCGATGAGAAGAGGCAGCGGACAGGCAGGCACCAACGTGGCGACAGTAGTTTTTCATCTTCCGACAGATCGAAAAGTCGCTCGAATCGCAATTGCTCCAAGTATTCATCACCGAAGACGGCCCCAACGAATAATACTGACCTCATCCTCAGTTCGCTCCAGGGCCTCTCTTCGCAGGTAGCTGCCTCCGCCACTGATGTAGCAACGATCAAGACGCATATGGATATCACTCAATTGCGCTGTGCCCAATTCACGACGACGTTGCAGACCATGCGAAATTAGATTCGCCCTACGGTCACGCAGCTGGAGGAAGAGCACGCCGCAGCGTTCGCTGATCTGACGAATTCGGTCGAGTTCCTGCAGTCCCGTTTATGTTCGCTCGAGAGTACTCCCCCACCATGTTCGATGTCGGAGTCTGGATCATCTAGCACTTCGAGTTTGCAGCAAAAGATTGTTGATATTGAATCGAAGCTTGCACGGATCATTTCTGCCCCCAGTGTTCCTCATGTCCCCCTTCATGCACGTGCTGCTCGCGCTGCACGTGGGCAAGATAGCACGACCAAATTTATGATCCTCGGCTTTCCACGTCGTATGTTAGCGAGTACACTTCGGAGCGCTGGGGAGGCCATTCGGACGAAATATGACCCATCAGCATGCAGAAACTCATCACGATCAAGGTTTTCGACCTCGCGCGGAACGTTGCGTTGCAGTTTGAGTCCGCGTCTGACGCCAGCAACTTTCTGACCCAGTACGAGGCTGATGGCGAGTTCATTCACCTTGGCCCTCTTGCGGCTGAACCACAACTTCGCGTCCGCAGAGATGCGGATTCCAAGGCCCGCCTCCTCTTTCTAGGCATGGGTCGCCGTCGCTCTTCCATGTCTCAACTCCTGCAGCCGCGGGGTTACGCGGTCAACAGTAATGGGCTGGGCGGCTGCATCTATATTCTGAAGGAGCCAGATGACCCCGTCCCTCTGGCTAACCTGCGGCTTAGTGAAGATGCCTCGAGCGCATACCTCGACCTAAAGCTCGACGCGCTGCAGGAATTTTGCATCCATCAGCGCGTTGATTCTTTTCGCGAGCAGGCCGCTGTTCAGATGAAATCGCCTTTTTCGCGGCTGTAGCTTGCAGTCTGTTGTGCGATGTCAAGATCACTTTTCCATCTGATCTTCCCGTTTGCAAGGTCGACGACAATGGCGATTATGAGTCTTCCTTCCCCCCCGATGTTCTTCCTTTCTCCCCGTGCGCGCCCTTCTCAGTCTGCTGTTGGAACGCCCGTGGTCTCCCTGGCAGCGTTTGCAATTCCTCTTGGTGCTTGCGCGCTAGATGCCAGTCCCTCCTATCTCTTTCGCGTAAGTTCCAGATCGCTTGTGCCCAGGGGACGCGCGGTCATTGCGGTGATATCGGAGAGCTCCTCAGGGGGCTGGATGGGCCCCGCCCGGGGCACAACGTCGGTCTCTCTGTATTTGAGGACTATCAGAGAGAAGGTGGTGTGGTCACTGTCTTGGGACCGAGCATTATTGAGTTACTCCTTTCTAGCGTTCGTCGAGAAATTCGCGCCGGTCGTGTTCTACGGATTACCTGCGTTCGCCCTTCGGGTAACCTGGCGGCTTTCAATCTTCACTTGCCGAACGCGAGTGACGCGATCGCGACCTACTTTGTCTCTCTGAAGTCAGCGCGCGCTGCTGTGGAGGCGTCGCGAGCCCCCCATTGTTTGTTGCCTGGGGAATGAAAATTCGCCATTGAGGAAGAGGGGGGGTGCAAGGTGACGGCAGCTGGCTTCCCGGGGATCGCGCGCGCCCCGGGGCACCCCGCGGCGCCCCCCCCCTCGCGGCTGCCGAGCTTGATCAGGAAGACCACGCGCGGAGGGAGGTCAGGGATGGGGTTATTAAGTGCGCGTCGCGGCTGGGCCGTATCTACTCTACCTTGCCCCGGGCCTGTTCGAAGGTTTCTGATGTCCGAGGCGGCGTTGCGGGCCGCCTCGCGGCCAAAGCTTCGAGCGACCGCGTCCCCGTCTTTGCTAACTCTTCGCCGTTCCTCCCCCCGCCGAGCACCCCGCGATCCCCGGGCGCGTTGCTTGTCATCTTGCTTTTGCCCCCCATCTCGAGCCCCCATTGTTAAGTTTGACGCGAATGCACCGAGCATTTCTGAGCGTGGCCGTCTCGAGGCGGTCAAGGCGCTTATGTTTGTCTCCGCGCAATTTATTCGTTATGTTTTGAAGTCGCTGCTGCCGGCCGAGTCTCTGGAACTCGCGCGCCTTTGGGCAATGTGTGCTCTGCGGGGGGTGAGGATGAGGAGGGGGTGGGTGGTGGCTGCTGTTCATAAGTCGTGCCCTGCGCTGCGCGTTTACTTTCGTGGCTCCTTGTGCATGCGCGAACCTGAATGGCCTCCGCTCAATGGTTCGATCTATCCAGTCTCAACTTCTAGAGCAGAAGCGATGGAGATTGAACGCTCCGTTGCCTCTGAGGCCGCCGAGAAAAACTTGCCTGCGATTGTTCAGCGTTATCGAGCCCTCTGGAGGCGCTATCGGAGCCGCTCATGCACTTCCTGCATCTGCGATGAGACGGGGCCGCCCTGGGAGTCTCTCGCGCGCTCCGCGGAGGTTCTGCAGGCGCGCTGGCCCCGTGTTTTTGCCCCCGAGGAACTTGATCGTACCCTGTTGTTTGAGGCGCCCAGCCATGTCCAGAAGCTCACTGAGGCCCTTCGATGGATAGGCAAGTTTCGCATCCTCAATCTTGCGAATATGTCTGTGCTCGCTGCCATAGGATGCCTGGGCCTGACGACATTCCTTATGGTGCGTGGAAGGCACCTGCTGCTGCTCGTGCTCTGTGCGGCGTTTATATTTGCTTCTTTGATGGTATTGTTTCAAGCTTTCTGCCATCGATGCGCCGCGGCTTGATGCCCCCCCCCCCCCCGAAGGTTCGAGCGATCGGGATTGTGGGTTTCCGGTTGTTCGAAGTCCGGAAGACGCCCGCCTGTTGAGCATGGGCGGCGCGAACATCAACATATTGGCAGGTGCGACGTCGATTCTTGTCGCTGTTAACTCATCGCGTTCTGTTGAATCAGCTCAAACATGCATAAAGGGCGGGACGCGATCACGAACATCGTCGGTACTGAAGCGTGGGCCCTCGAAGGACGCGCCCGTGCAAACGGGGGCGCAGGCCTGTTGCTCGCAGATTTCAATGTTGCTCCCCCCTCCTTGGGCATCTCCTGGCTGTTGCGTGTCTTGCATGCCGTGGGGCTTTGTCCTAATATGCTTCTTTTTTTCTTTTTCTTTTTCCCCCCTCATTTTATGGTGCCAGGGGCAACCTGCCGCGATTGTTCCGGGGGGGGGGGGGGGGGGGGGCGTGCGGCTATCCCGACGGGGAGTGGGGTGAAGCAGGGCCGTCTGTCCAGTTTGCTGTCATTCGTTCTTGCGGCCGATTTTTTTTTTCGTTTGGCCGATGCATCTCTGCCTCGGCACGTCGATCGGACTTTGGCCTGCGCGGGCGATTTCTATTTCGGCATGGTGCGTATGTTCTCGTCTCTGTGACCCATTTGGCAAGAACTGTGTTTGCTTGAGAAAATCGCGGGCCTCAGTCTGCGCTGCGAGAAATGCCAGATCCTGCTCGTTGGTGAGATCGACCGCGGCTTCGTTCGCGCATCTGTTGCTGTTCTCGACGGCGACTCTAAGCACCTGCAGGTAGTCGAGAGTGCGAAGTACTTTGGCATCTCCATTGGCCCACTTGCGCAACAGAATGCGTGGAGTGAGGCGCGCGTGAAGTTTCGTGCTCGTGCGGGTGTTACTCGTCACCTAGGATTTGGGGTTACGAGATCTATTGTTGCGTTACGGGTTATTTGTTTTTCGGTCTTCGGTTTCATTCTCCAGCTGCACCCTGCGTCGAAAACGTTGATGAGCTGCTATCGTGAGTCGGTCATGTTCCTCACGGCAGGGCCGCGCAATGCACTCAGCTATGTCCTCTGTACCCAACTTCGCCAACTTCACCTCCCCATCGGGTTCCAATACCTCGCATGCTTCTCTCGTGCGACATATTTACGATACATGCTTATGAATCATACGATGGGGGCGGTGCTTGAGCATCTTCAGAATCTTGAGCACGATGATGTTCATATCATGTATCGTGTGCGGTGTGGGTGGTGGAAGACGAATTTTCTGTTTTAAACGCGTTCCTTGTATTGCTGGTTCCACGGCATCCCTTCGTCTCTCAATGTTTTTACGAGTGGCTACTCTCGCGCTGTCGTCCCGAGAAAACCCGCGCCATAGTCTCTTCCGTCGCGTTGTCGCATGGTTCCCAAGCGTGATTTTTGAATGCATGGACCGTTTCTTTTCGAATTCGTTTGCTGTCATCTCGAAAGCACAACCGTGCCTCATAGTAGGAACTTTGCGCTTCTGGTGCCGGGGACTTTATGCGTCCAGGAAAATTAAGTCCCGTCCCGCAGGCTGTGTCATGGGATGTCCAGACGATGGTGATGAAGATCTTGACTCTGTTGAACA